ATTTGATAAATAGTGTTTGAAAACATGCATAGCTTTATAGCCCAGATGTACTACTTCTGCAAAAGCCAAAAAGAATAGCTTCAAGGCTTACCAATATTCAGGAAAAACAATTTTTGTCATTTTTTCAAGATAAAGATAATATTGTAATGAGTTTATACCATACAGATTCAAAAGGATCACTAATCCTATATTTGCGTAATCAAAAAAATGAAATGTGGAAAAATTCTATAAAACTTATCCAGATGGTATGAAAAGAACATAACAGAGTTGACAAGAGAGGTCTGGGTTTAAGGTTTGTAAAATAGTAAAAGGAAGAGCAGAGTTTTGTTAATGTTTATACTCATGGTTTATAATATATTCGTTGTGTAATTCAGTGACTCTATTAGTCATAAAGCAAAGTCCGAATGCTAGAAGCTAGAAAAGAAAGAGAAGAGAAAAATAAAATAATATTCTTGGGGTTAGATCCTTACACCTACACTTTGGCTTGTAGAAAATCTGTTAATATCCTTTAGGTTGGATCCTTACACCTACATTTTGGCTTGTGGAAAATCCTTCAGTTGTCCTGAGAATACGTCCAGGCACCAGCTAAATAAATTCTTGATGGTGGGGGTTGTTGTCTGCAATACTCAATTTAATCTAGAATAACTATCCTCTGGTAAACAGCTAATAATCGAAAGAGATCTGGGATAATATTGTTTGGCAATAGTTTTAAAATATTTTTTGCTAGAAAGCACCAAATGTTACAGTATTGTGGCTTTCTTAACAGCAGTACTATAACAATAACATGGCTACAAAGATTCTTCACAGGTTTATAGCAGTATCCAACAGATAAGTATAATTTCTACTACAACTAGAAACTATACCCTTCTGTCTATAACAGTTCGGGCAGACAATAGTTTATAAATAAAATATATGTTTTATTAAAGAGAATAAAATAAGCTATCCTTAGATTCCTATTTCTAAAGAATCCTATAATATTACAAGAGAGAATTTAGAAAAGAGGTAAGTCTGAATCTAGGGTGAACGGTACAGGTCTAATGTTAACTTGGAGAAATTTACATCCTTTTTATATCTTTAGAGCTAATCGCTAATCGTTGTAGCTAAGCATAGTTTACT